ATCAGCTCCTCATGAGAGCAGTGGTTTCACCCTGCAGAGCTTGTTATGGCAGGAGTTGAGAACACCATTGCGATTGCTCTGCGAGTCCTGGGAGGGATTCGATGAGGACCCTAAGTAGTTGCGTATGTTCTAGACCTCCTTCAGAGGCTTGGAAAAACTGAAGATCTTGTGGAAAGCCACATGAAGGCTGCGCAAGTGTTGTCGAAGGAGTACTACAACAACAGCGAATATGCGCACCTTTGAAGTTGCTAGTTGGGTAATGCTGCTGCGGCCGTCCAAAAAGAACAAGCTTGAGGTTCATTGGGAAGGGCTCGCCAAAGTAATATCGAAGCTTTCTGATACCAATTATGAAGTGAAATTAGGAATGCGGCCGAACAAATTTATCACAGTAACTTGATGAAACCATACGTTCAACGTCAAGTGGTTGTAAATCTGTTGTTGAATGCTTGAGAGGAGAGGGAGCAGAATATTGAGTTATAGTGATGTAATCAAAAGGGGATCGGAGGTAATCTTAGAGCAGTTGAACCTAGGGCCTAGGTTAAGTGAAGTCCAGAAGGAGGAAGTTTCTTTTTATGAAAAATAGATAGGGAATTGTTATAACCGTGTAGTAGGCGCCCAACCCGTTCATCATTCGTTCAAACTAATCGAATACTCGTGCCGAACCAACATGTTCAAAAAATCGTTCTTCCCTCGTACAATCCATGAATGGAACGCATTGCCTGAAAATGTATTACAGAGCCCAACCATGTCGTCGTTTATGCACGCTCTCGCTCATCTATGACCGAGATGTTTCCTGTGGCGTCTGTCGCTTTCCAGATGGCGTGCGACATTGAAACAAAAATCATTACACCCTTCTTATCGTTGTCGAGCAGACTACTGCGTGAACATGCGCTCTTTTGCACATTCTTCTCTTTTTTTCCCCTTGTAGTTATTTATTTGTCCTAAACTGAAACATTTTTTCACCCTGTGGTCCATGTATTTCTTACCAGTATTTTCAACTGTATTATCGTGTGTGTTCCTGGAACCTGTTGTTTCTACTGTTTTTACTGGAACCTGTTGTTTCTTGTTTCACATACTGAAAAGATTGTTCAACACTGTTTTTAGTTTTATTCCACAGATTTGTTTGGAACCGTTCTCACAGATTGTTCATCATTTTCTTTTGTACAATCCACTCCTGCCTATGGCTTGTAAAGCAAGTTGGCAGTATTAAAATAAATAAATAAATAAATAAAATAAATGAGAAATCTGGACTCCCATATTGTAGTTACACAGATGTGCAACGTAGCGAGTACGAGCAGCCCTTAGTTCCACATAGGTATCGTCGCCTTAAAGTGGCCGGTTACTGAGGTGGAGTTTCCTCCAACAGCACAACTTTGAAGTTTGCTAAAAATAAAAGGAAAGCTAAACGCTAATGCAGGTGCATTGAGCCGTACGTTCTAGCTAGTAGCTTCTCCACCTTTCGGTTTCTCTCGCTGGCGATTCAAGGCAAAATTTTGTCTTCATCACGGCCTTAGCTGAGCGCTCTCGTCCAGAATAAGCTCAAGGAGCCAACTTTATGTTCTATTCTATTTCGTTACGTTGTTGTAAGTGTAAAATTTTGAGTTCTCATTTTAAGAGTCTTGTGTCCCACATGTGCCTCTTGATGTAGAGGGAACGAAATTCCGATAGACACGTAACTAGGTATATGTTGTAATATACTTTGTCTGGTGTTCTGTCGGGTGACCGAGGGCACTTGCTTGTGTCGTGTGTTGTCTGTTGCCGAACCGTTCTTGACAAGTTGCAGAACCATCGACAAAGCTGAGACCAAAGATCGTCAGGAGAGACGAGCGAAGCTGGCCGACAAGTTGTGGCGACAAGCCAGTGGAGCTTGGATCCGTCCTCAAAAATGGGATGTGTTCCCGGAGCGGAGTCTGGAGCTGCATTCTCCCCATGGCCCTGGAGGCGAACCTGGAGGTACCTGGCAAACGAGCGCGCCTGACACTCGAGCCACGTGGAAGCAGCTCGTCTTTCCGGCGCATTGTCTGGCGGCGGGGGTGCTGTTATGCCTGCGAGTCCACACCGAACGTCCATGCCTATGAAAAAGGCAATATGTGTAAAGGCCAGCACGCGAGCCCGCCTGACGCGAACAACTCAACGGCATCATCACGCGGCGGCGCCTTTCTGTCTCGCACGCACAGCGAGCCACCTCAGCCCACGAGCCCGTTGCAGCAATAGGCACCTTCCTGTCTGGCAAGTCTTACGCAATATGTGGCGACGTGTAGTGGCTCCGTATTTGATGAGAATTACGCGGCCCAGCGGCGACCCCATTGAAGGATTCTGACCTCACGACAGCACACTTCTGGTTGGACATTTGGTTACTCAAAGCATCCACCCTGTGCATATAAAGAAAGCCCCGCGTCGCGAGGAGTAGACCTGTGTGTCAGAGAAGAGAGCTCGGCTCTTCGAGTCTCTAAGCTGTCGGCCCCAGTGCCGAATTTGTAACACCTCTGTATATATGCTGTACATAAACCTTCTTTAACTCACCATCGTCTCGTCAGCCCGTCTATCAGCTCTGCGCCGAAGCAGTCGCAAGCTGAGAAACCTACGCTACCAAATGGCTGGTGACCTTTCGGCGGAGTTCGAAGCAGTGGCGCCTTCGGGATCGTGTTGGCGTCGCCGTCTTTCGTAACAGTCGTTGCAGCGGTGAGATTTCGTGAACAGTCGTTGCAGCGGTGAGATTTCGTGATGCCCTTCGTAAGGTCGTCAGAGGCACGCTTTGTAACAACGCTGACCCTTCCTCCGCGCCCCTGTAGTTGCTGCTCTCCCTCTGCCTTTTGTTACACACCCCTCTGTGCTTTGTTCCCGGCACTACTCTGAGCACCCCGCATCGCCAGACGAGGTCCGTTTTCACACTGCCATGCTCTTTCAAAGGCTGGTCGACCATCTTCTCTGTTTTTGATTGCTGGTACTGTCATTGGCGTCGCCGGCCCGGAGTGACCAGACCATTTGCCAACGTCGTCGGACACCGACTGTATCTGATTGTCTGCGTCTAGTGCACGGACGTACGCTACCCCACCGACTCTGATAATTCACGATTCGTTTGTGTTAGGAGCGGTTCTCGCTCACTACGCACTCGGCTCAGCAGTCCTCAGCACGCGTGCGAAAGCGTGAAAACTTATGTTAATTTGCACGGAACGAGTCGCGAAATATCAATGTCAGTGAGGCCATGCACACCTGCCGGCGCAACAAAACGTTTTTTTGACCACGACCCCAGATCCTTTCAACACGCCGTGCGCGCAGATCCAAGCGGCTGTGCTTTGACTTCTGCGTGCAGAGCCACTCTTTCAAGTTTTTCTACGGGCGAATTGCGCTTTTCACGAATTTTTCAAGCAAGCTTACCTTCTTGCGTTTTTTGGTTTTCAAGGTCGCTCTCCCGCCGTGTCCTCCCCTCTCCACTCTATCGCAACTCCTTGCCTTTCTTCTGTCGCAAATCTCTTCTCCTCTCTTGATCGCAACCCTTCACTCGTCTCCACTGCTCTGCGGCGCCAGCCACGCTGACTAAAAACGGGCCCGAGCTGTTCCGCCGTGCTGGCATGTGTGTCGCGTGTGCGCGAATTGCTCGCTCTTGCTGTTCGTGTGTGATCAGGATCGCAGACGGCAGGACTTGCACGCTTTTCCCTGCTGCTCAACAAAACGTCGAAAGTGTGAGCGCTTGGCTTGAGCGAAATCCGCGTGTTAGATGCCGCGTTGCGGAGCGCTTGCTTCGCAACGCATAGCTGTTGACCATCTGGCAGCCAACTTGCAGCTTCAGGCGTCTCGGTATTCGGTTGTGGAGATGGTGAATATTCATGGGCGGCAGTGACGGCAACATGTGCGTGAAACTGTTTTCGCGAGGCCGTCTTCGTCGACGTCGAGCCCGATGCCGAGCCTGAAGCTTCCGAACAGGATCAGTTCAGTGGCGATTTGTGGCAGCGCGCCGTCGACTCCGACATGGGAGAACGGTTGGAACATCTGTTGCGATAGTTTCATTACGGCCGATGATGATGCTGACAGCACGGAACCGTACACCAATTAAGACATTGTGAATGAAGTACGTTGCAAGAGCGATTTGGAGAAACCGAATTGCGAGAATGACGAAACTTTGGAGCCAGTCCTTCATGCACCTTATGTCTCGGGCTTCGGCGAACAAGCACGCTGCTGATTGAAATAAACTAGAGACCGCCCTTATTGCTTCTGCTCTTCAAAACACATGCATCACGGACTTTTTTGGGGCAAAAAAGTCTGTGTTTTCACTCGCAACTTTTTTATAAGCTGTGTTTCATTTATTACGAACTTCAATATACAGCGAACGGATGCCGCGTCAGGCTCAGATTCGTTATAAGCGGGCTCGACTGTATACTTCTTTTGCATCAGGTGCAGTTTGTGTTGCTCTTCCAGCTTCCAATGTGGGTGTGCGAAAATTTCCTCATAGGCTTGGCATTTTCTTTTCCTATGCCACCATTAGTATACGATGCGGAGAAAGGCTCCAAGCTTTTGGAGCACACCATGTTGGCGAATACAAAAAACACCTGTGTGAACTTGCATGTCTTTCTACAGTTCTAAGCTGCTTTCTCGTTGGCAGTCGTGCACAAGTCATTTGTTCGTCCAATGGGAATTTTCCGCTCAATTGTTTTTATGTAGCATAGACGAGGACAAATAGAGAGGCATTGGAATAGCGAGGGCTATAGCTTTCTCGCAGTTTTTATACTCTGCACACGTGTCTTGCCTGACTTGTGTGGAGCAGTCAGAATTTTGACCTGTGAATTATCACAGAACCTTTTCCAGAGAGCTCAACAGTTTAACTAGAAGCCACATTTGTGTTTATTTTGTGCAAAGAAATAGCCACAACTGTTGCTTCTGGCTGAACATGAGCTCAGCACGGTGTTTTTCTAGATCTCTACACTGCCCAGTGATTGCACCCTGAGTCAATGTTTCAAGCATTAAGTGCAAGCAGTGTTTCTGCTGACGACGTGCGTGTGCAGGCGGTGCAGTGCTCGGACCAGCTGATGCAGAAGATCCAGGCCCAGAACCGACGCACCCTGGACTTGCTAGCGTCCAAGTGCTACTTCTACCACAGCCGCTGCTACGAGTTGGTTGACAGAATGAGCGACATCCGCAGGTGCTCGATGATGATGATGAAACCATTATTTACAAAGGCCACATTCTCTTTCTTGTTATCTGATTTGGTGACACAGCTGCTAAATATTTACTGTAGTGGGTGTACGCCGTGAAAGTGTCTGTGTCATCCTTGTAGTCAGCTTCCTAATTTGTAGAGGGTGAAAAGAAAAGGGCTCTGCCATGTGGTAGTTGTTATCTTTAGAGTTTGTTTTATTTTTCCGTGTGCCTAGTGCTTTTTGTTTTGGTGCTGCAGTAGTCATTCACAAGCAAGGAAAAAAAAAGTCTTTTTCATTTCTACAAGTAATGAAAAACTCAATATCGCAGTGCAATATGAGAGTATGGCCAATCAGTGCAGTAGCATAAAGTATGTGTATAATTTTTAAACAGTAGTGAAATAGCAAACCTTTACACATGCCTTATCGGTAATTTCCTTTCATCAAAAGGTTCAACAGCAAGAAGACCCAAGTTTGCATTTTCAGAAACCACCCCTTTCACTCTTATTTGCTCATGTGAACACTAAAAAGATGAAACTCAGCCAGTAGATGGACAGCTCAGATACATTAAAAAAAAAGACTATTTCACCGGAAGGGCAAACAGTGAATGCAATACTAAAAATTTGAAAAGGCACATGATTGGCAAACAGCTCTGGGGTACCAACAGGCCCATCATCTGCAAGTAGGCAACACTATCGCTGTGCCATTTTGAAGATCCGTTCGTACGTGCGTTCAGCGGTCTGTGCTTCGGCATGCAGGAGGTATTCCAAAGGTCACTAGCCATCTAAGTCGCCATTTGAATCTCACACACAGCACGTGCAGCGAGTTTCTTGCGCGTGTGGCGAGCGTGTGAACCGCCAAAATGGAGACCCCCACGCTAGCAGTCCTCGCGGATGACATCCACTGCATACCCCCTATACTTGCAGCTTCCCGCAAAAGCACAAAGGAGGACGCTCAAAAAGAACACACAAAAATACAACAGACAAGTATGAACTAACTGCTCTCACAATTGTGAGAACCTTTGTGTTGTTTGCACAATGCACTGCAAGTGCCAACAATGCAGAACCTTTTCACAATGCACTGCAAGAGCCGACAATGCAGAACCCAACACTCATATATACATACTTTTAATTTGAACTACAGTGGGTGGATTGCCTCTTCTGCGTCTCCTACCACACGATGGCCTCTGTCGCAAAGTGTGCAGTGTTCTTTTTTTTCTTCGTTCCACATGGTGAGCGGGTAGAAAAGGGGGCCACTTTTTCATGCGTGCCTCAAGGGCAGTTATCAAATTAAAAGAAAATGTAGAAGCATTGTCACTGCTGCTGGTTAAAAAACAAGGTGCAGCCTGTTGCGTACTGCTGAAGTGGCAGGACGGGCCTAGTTCACATCGCGCCCACTCTAGCGCCACTACTTTTCCCTCGAGAAACGCTTTTACTCGCATTTCGTAGCTGCACATCACAGGCTTGATTCTGAATCGTTATTATTACAGCACATATGTGAACAGTTTGCCCTCGGAGCGCAAATCATTCAGGGAGTATAGGCCTGAATACTCTCCATAAATGCTGCCCGTTTGACTCACCTAAATAAAAAGCGCCACTGATTCCGTTCATGGGGAGGAAATCGCCAGGCATATTCCAAGGGCTGACGTATCGGCACACTGATGCGCGCCGCCAAAGCACACATAATATAAGTGGAGGTTCTTTCAGTGCAATAACGTCGGTCGCGCTCCAAAGACTTAGATGAAAAGCAAGAGTTTGCGACACAAACAAAATATGTATTCCTAGCAAAGGCGTCAGACAAACTTGCACACTCGGCAGTTACCAATTACAACTCACAAAATCATTTAGAAGGTATTTGAAACAAGTGAAACTAACTTACCATGCTACAAATGCAATCTCACGCATCATAAACTGCGCAAGAGTACTTAGTGACCCAAACAATCACCACATGCCTTGTGGGGTCTTGAAATGGTGAGCGAGTGCTTGCCCCGCTCTTGGAGTAAAAGGACACAGTAGACACGGTCGGAACAAACCAAACGATACACACATGTATTTAAGGGGGGACGCGGGTCTTAGAAAAGTAAAAAATAGCCAAAAAATCGATTTTGAGAAAAACCCATTTTTCGAATCTCTGAACCTATAAGCACCTCTCCTCAAATTATTAACGCTAAATTTGATAAAAAAATAGGTTAAAATCTATTTTCAAACCATCACGGGAGTCGCAAAACAACCCGCAAAACAGAAACAGAAGCAGCCGGCGGATCGGCGCCACCTTGGGCTTGTTTTGAAGCTGGTTCCTTTGTGCGCGTTTGCGGGCTGTCAAAATGGCTTAGAAGTGTGGCAGCTTGGGCTAGTTGGTATGGCATGACGATAGTTATAGCGCGAGAACAAAACGCCACAGAGACAAGAAGGACACGAAAGACACGAGCGTTAACTTCCAACTGAGTTTATTGCTCAGAGCACGAAAATATATAGAGGAGACAGTGACCATGGCACAAGAGCAAAACATGAGTAAGAAAACCAAAAACAAACAACACAAATACAAAGGCACTGAAAAACGGCAAAGAAAAACCTAGAAGAAACCGAACCAGAAAGGTAAAGCTACCTGCCCGCACCGAATCCTTCGAGGAACCTGCGTTCCTTCTCGGACTAAGCATAGCCTCCTCTATAACTTTGTGCCCGAGCGGTCGGTTCCTCAGCGCCGTCCCCCGAGCTATTATGGGATGCGAGCGCTCCTGGCGGAGCGCCGAGGCGCAAAACGAGAGAATGGATGGCAGCTATGGAGAAAAAACCGGCTTTGAGTAACTACCGAAAGGGCAAAAATGAAATAAGGAGGGAGGCATTTTACGATAATTCAAGGGGAAGCGCTTTTCTGTTTGAAGCGAGATCGGGTTTGAAGCAAGAACAGTCCACGAAACCATTTCCTGTGATGAATGCTTCACTTTGGTGACTAAACCAAACACCTCTGCGCCATCGGATGCATTAATTAGGCACCAGGACAGAGGTGGACTCCTGTATCCGTCAACTGAGCTCGTAATGGTTCTAAATTCTCTAAAGAATTACGCGGAAATTTTCCTCGCAAGAGCGAGAAAGATGAATCAGCCACTGAAGGCTGCCGTTGACAACGCCGCGCAAATACTACAGAAACGTGACAAACTCAAGTGCTCGACCCCGGGACATCATAAAAAACTTTTGGAGGTTGTGCTCGTGAAGTTTCTCCGCCCATTTTCTGAACTTCGCGACGAGTGTGACTGACAAACACGACTTGGCAAAAGATTTTCATGTCAAACCATTGTCTCGAAAAGTGCTCAAGCTTTGAGCGCGAAATCAAATAACAAAGCTCACATTGCATTCTGCATACAGTGCTTGTGTTAAAATTTGGTGTGTGCGCACTTCTTAACGTATACGCATAATCCAATGCAATGTAGACGGTTTCTAGACCGTCATAAACGCAAGCGTGCATAGGCCGCGTCGTCTGCTGTTATTATGGGATCGGTGCGGCATCTGGCGGCGAGCGCCAAAAACTATAAGGGACGGATGGCGCGTATGTATTTAGCGCTAATGCGCGGGCACAAAAAATATAGGAGGCTATGGACTAAGCCACGGAGGGCTTGCTAACACAAGGCACCTGTTCGCGTGCCATCTGCGCAGCCTCGACAATGACCCGGGTGCTTACATCTCGTGTTTGTACAACGTTGCTGTTTCCTCGAAGAGGGGAACACACTTGCACTCAGAGCAGTGCTGGGTAAGAAAACCATCT